CCCCCAAGCCCATGCCATTTGCCCATGGTTCCCTCCCATGACGCTCCAGTCCCAACCCCCAAGCCCATGTCATTTGCCCATGGTTCCCTCCCATGACGCTCCAGTCCCAACCCCCAAGCCCATGTCATTTGCCCATGCTTCCAGCAGCACACCAGCCCTCTGTTTGCCTGTGTGCCCCCCTAACCGACCCCCCTGGCTATGGCAGAAGCTGCTCAGGCCTTGCTCCTCCTCCCCTCTTTCATTTGAGTTACGAGTCAAGCTGTCTTCGTGGAGCCCCCTTGAGGTGCCCCTCCCTCCCTTTTCCCCCCAACACACTCTTGTCTAACTGCCCCCCCCAGTGGCCCCGGTGGCTGCTACTTCTGCTGCCAGTCCCCCTCCTTCCGATTCTGGTGACAGGGCTGCGAGGCCCCAACACTTGCAGAGCAGAGCACTTTTTAAAAAAATCTTGCATCACAGCTGCCCCCCCCCCAGCCCCTGGGGTTGCTCATCCCACGCTGCCCCTGCAGCCCCATGGCTGGGGGCTATTTGTCCCGTACAGCCAAAGGCCCGGGACAAAGGGTGTCTGGGTGAATTGGCTGGGCCGAAGGGCGACAGGCAGAGGGCCAAGGGCCCACTGGCCGTGGAGAATGGCTCCGGGCGGTCAGCGGAGGAGGAAAACTGGCTGTAAGTGGGTTAAGGTGAGTGGCAGGGGGCGAAGGAAGCATGGCCAAGGGTCCAGGCCTAAACATGGGGGTCGGCGCAGATGCATTCAGGAATAGTGCATCTCTTTTGTCTCTCTGGTTTCACCGACTGCACTGACCATGATCATCATTGGCCAGTGAGGGAAGCGATCCAAAAGGAATCCCTTCCAGTTTGAGACTCAGTTGGGGAGCCTCAGGGACCGGGAGAGGCTTCCAGCTGAGGGCTGTTGACACCTCCGGTGTGATTCGCCCTCGCTGCTCACTCAGGGACTGAAAGGGTCACCCAGGGCGACCCGGAGAGACTTCTAGTGTGAGTCTCACAGAGTATCTGCTCATGGACTGAGTGAGTCTGGGAACCGATAATTATCCACATCCATTCAGTGTGAGTGTCACACACAGGGGAAGCTCAGGGACTGAAAGACCCCTAAAAATGAGTCATCACTATTAT